CATCCCACGGGCGCGGGGTGTCGCGTCCCCCACCCCCCTCACCCTCGGGGTTCCCGGTGCGGGGAAGGCGTCGGGGCTCCGCCGGATTGGGGCGGGCGGGCCGGGCGGCGGAGCGCGGCGGCGGGGGCTGCGGCGGGGCAGAGCGGCCGGCCGAGCGGCACCGACCCGGCCCGGGGGGCCCCCGCCTCCGCCGGGCTCGCCACAGGGCGCGGGGGCCGGGGGTGCGCCTCTATTTTTTGTCAAACCTGCGCTCCTCCTGCTCCTTTTCCAGAGGTTCCGTGTTAAAAAATAATAACGACCCTAGCGACCTAGATTATTTTAAAATAGCTGATTCTTCCAGTGACTAATAAAATGATTTTTGGCAAATAACTTTTTTTCCCGGCGGATAAGTGTTTTGTTTTTGTTTTTGTTTTGACGATTGGGGCTTTTTTTGTAGGGTTACCGCCTGTGCCATAAAAGCTTAAATAATTCTCTTGATCGCGCCAGCGCAATTTCACTTATCAAATTCGTTAATTTTACCCACGGGCGCCGGTAAACGGCGAATAAAGTTTGCCGCAAGCGTCCCCCTGTAACCCTGGGGATATTTCCTAGCGGAAGGGTGAGCCCGGAGCCCACCGTCCCTGCAGGCTCCCCTAATTTTCGTTTCGGGCGGCGATGGCCGGAGCTGGCCGAGGCCCCGGAGGCTCCGGTGCGGGTTTTCCTCCGCCCAGCCCGGCCGGTGGGCGCAGCGCGGGGCCGCCGATCGTTGCCGTCTCTTTCAGAGCCGCTTAGGCAGGGTCCGGGGTTAAACCCATCTTCCCGTTAGTATGTGCCTCTTCCAAAGATCGGCTGGAGAAGGGTAGCCCGGAGAAAATAAGGATGTCTTTTAACGCCCCGAAAATTATGGTTTGAAACGCTTTGCAGAACTATTGATTTTATTAATTGGAGGGAGGAGGAAAAAAAAATCATATAATTGTCCTAGCAACGGGGAAAAACCCTCGAAAGCCCCCAGAACCAGGTCTCTTTGAAATACAGGCAAGCCCGGCTGCCTCCATCCCTCCGACGGGAGCCGATGGTCAGGAATGCGGCGGGAATATTTGAGAGTGAAGATCCCATGGGGACTGATGGAGGCAACCTGCCCGCCGAGGGAAGGCGGCGGAGGCAAAAGGACCCGCAGAAGCTTTTTAGTGTTTAGTTTGGTGGTTGGTTTGTTTTAAATTTTGTGTGTGTGTGTGTTTGTTTGATTGTTTTTAAAATTATTATTCCCTGGAAGGAAGTTACCTCGGCCCAAATGCACCTCTGGGATGTGTCATGCCGCTTACACATCCTTGGAAACCCCCGGGAGTGGGACGGCGGCGGCAGCATCGCGGGAAGGATGGAGAGACGTCGGTCCTCCCACCTGCATCCCCTTCCCTGCTTGGACATGCTCCCTCCTTGTGCCAAGGGGGAGATGCAGAGCGGACTGGGCTTCTGTGATGTGCGGGAAGGAGCAGGGGGAATACAGCCTCTGTGTCACCTGGGGGTTTTTTTGTTGTTGTCTTTCCCCTCTTTCCCTTTATTTTTCCTCCTGCCATCCGAAACCCTTTTTCCTCTTTTTTTTTTTTTTTTTTTTTTTTTTTTTTTTTTTTTATCCGTCTCAGCTGCTGGCCACCTTGTCTCCCATATGGATGGGGTTATCTTAGAAGAATCTCCCAGAAAATCGCTCCTTAAACCTCCTTTTGTCTTGGGAGTTGAAAAGAGCATTGTTGTGCATGAAAAGGACCTAGACAAAATCCGCACTGTTTCAATTCAGGACTGTTTAATCAGTCCCTAGTGACAATTTTATGGGTTTTAGGCGGTACAATAGTATCTTTTAAAACCTTGTGGCCTTCATGAAAACAAAGGGCTTGAATTTTATGGGCTTACAACTCCAATTAGAACAGTGCCAATGTGTATGGGAGATTATCAAATTTGTATCATAAAACCCCTTTATAATAAATGATTGCTGGAAGCTGGGGAGGGGCAGGGGGAGAAGGGACCCGAATTTCAAGCAACGGACTTTGTCGCATGTAGTCTTAAAATGCTGCTCTCCATTTTAATTCTTTGCGACCCAGCTAAGCAGCAGGATCAGCCATGGAAATAGTGTGACATCGTCATTAGAAACCGAGACAAAGACAAAAGAAGACCCCTCCTCCTCAGCCCAAATCTACCCTCCGTCAGGTTGTCGAGGGACTTGCAGCATCCCACCCGGAAGGCTGCCTCCCCGGATCCTTGGTTATCTGGGCTGCTCTCCTGTCCTGGAGCCCACACATGGCCATGGAGGTGTCTGTAGAATAGGTGGTCTTCATTGTACTACTGCTTTTACCAGTTACTGGTTGTACAGACGATGACAGAGGGTGCTAGGGTGTCCCTTCCCAGCCCCAGGCTGCAGTGATTTCCTCCAGGCACAGGCTGAGATGTCCCATGCTGCGGATTTCTTTATGCAAAAAATGCGCAGTTTGTGAGTGTTTCCTTTTACCAAGCCCAGGGAATGGGAAAGGTGCAATTCCTGGGTGTCAGCAAAAACCAAAGTCATGCTTTTGCAGGCTGAGGGGAGCTCACCACAGCAGGGGCACAGGGAGGATGATAGAGACAGATTGAAGTACTGAGAAAAGCAACCCCCTTAACTTGGTACATCCAAGTAGAAAGAAGAATGTATGAGTCAATTCAATAGAAAAAGGAGATTTATAATAAAAAGTCTTGTGAAGAAGATAGGCTGGGACTGAACTTACTATTTTTCCTGATAGAAACAAATTAATCCATCTAAACTTTAAGTGTATTTAGCAAAGAAAATTGATTTCTTAAGCTTATCAGTGGTTAAGCCGCATCTAGGAGATATGTCTTAACAAATGTCGTTGATAACAGCTTTGAGGCAAAAGAAACTTACTGCCTTTCAGTGTATTTTCTGTTACTTTGGCTTGGTTTTCAAGAAGGCACAAAATCGTCTCCATTGTTGGTTTGTTGATTTTTTTCCTCCTCAAAGAGGTGAATGCACACACACAGGCTCCGCCTTTTCTCCCTTTCTTTTGCCTCACCAGGTCTCACTGTTACTTTCACCCTGCAAACAGGCCTGTGATTTCACTCAACCTAATGAATAAACATGCCATGATCAAGACCTAAATGCCATCTTCAGCTAATGAAAAGCATTGCTAACATCTTCAAACATCTTCCCTGGTGCTTTATTCTTAGTCAGTAAATAAACTATTGACTTTGCAAAGGCCCAGCCCCGTTTCAGTGTGAGCCCCTGGGCACATGTTTGTTAGAACTAAGGCATTAAAGCCAATCACTAGACTGACCGAAAAATGGACAATAGTTCTGAAAGACCATATAATCTAGATTCTTTGCAATAATTTATGAAGAAGTGTGCTCCTGCATGTCATTAATCTTTGGATGTACGCATTATACATTTTACAAATTTCAACGGATTAAAAATGTCACCTGGCAGAACTCTGCCAGGCACCAAAATAAATTCTTTTGTCACTGACTTAGGAAAGGCTCCTGGCAGCCTCGCAGTATGTACGTCTGGGTTAATAACCCATCTGCACTATGCTGTTAACTACGTGCAAGTCAGGACTGTGAAGCCCTGTGGAGTTTTCAGCCCCTCCTACCTCGTAGCACTCATAGGAGTAAGCCTTCCACTTCCAGCTGATGCTGGAAGGGACAGTGACCTCAATTTGCTTTCAAAAACCAGTGATGCCCAGTGCAATCTATGGAGAAGCGTGGGTTTGGCTCTCACTGTACTTGATGCCCTTCATAAGCCACAGTTCATTGATGAAGGTAGTGTCTTACTGGACTCAAATGACTGATACCTGCTGTTTCTTGAGAAGATAGGAACAGCTAGGATACAAGGAATAGCAGTTTCTGAGCCTTAGTAATGGCACTCAACCCTATCTTCAAAAGCCTAGATAGCACATTTTCCTTTTCCTCAGCTAGTGGTTCCAACACTTGAATACTGGTCCAGTCCCATACATATTGGCCTACATAGGGTAGTACAGTATTTCCAGAATTCCTGCCATGACCAAATAATTGCAAAGGAAAGACTTCACTCAATCTACTTGACATAAAAAAAAAAAAAAATCAGACTATGAGTCAAGTGCCATCAACCTCAGCAATGACAGAAGGACCCCAGGCACCGCAGGTGCCTTCCAGGAGGCTTCTAACTCATCTTAGTTAAAAGGAAACTTCCCGTAGGAAAGGAGGCAGTGGATGCAGAGTTGCCCATGTCAGAGAATTTGCTTTATGCTCCTGAAGCATAAAGCTCTGCTCAAGTACCATGCAGGAACAGAGTAACCCGGATCAGCAGCAACTAACATTATTATAATAAAAAAATCACCTACACATCTACAAGATTTAATGGGCATCAGAGATCTCTGCCTGCCACTAAGTGGAGATTACTGAGCTATGAGATCAGGATTACTTTTCATCTTGTTCAGGCTTACAATTGCATTCTAAACAGTGAAGGCAATCAGCTCTCTAGACTGAGGATGTTGGAGTTGTGCCCATTTTCATCCTGTTTTCTCCAGTGCTCTTCTATTTAAAAGAGGTTATTAAGTGTGTTGGAAATGTATCCTCCAACGGTAGGTCTCCCAAGCAAAAATTGGGGCACCTTTCTCCAGAGCAGAGCTATACCTTTCTTTATATTCAGGACTAATACGGATAATGAGTCCATTTCAGACATCCACAGGTCCCAAACTGCCTTCCTGAACAAGAGGAGACCAAATCGTTTACAGAAGATGTCATGTTAGTAACTTCTTCCTAAGAATTTTCTCCATCTAATTCTTAAATTTGGGAGTTAGATATGCTCCTCAGAATCGGTCAGAATTTGGATCTATATGCGTAATACTTGAATAGAGAAAAGGAACAGAGAGAAATGGGAAAAAAGATGTAGAAAAGCCAGTAGCAACAGAGGAAAGAATAAATGTCCTCAGCACTTCTGGAACATGGAGGGTGCATTTCCATGGGACTGTCCATGCTGCTTTCAAGGAGTCAGTAAAATTCCTCAGGGGCATCTGACATGTGGGACAGTCCTGCTCACTGGATCATAGTGTCCTTCAGAACAAAAATGATTTCTTGGCATTCCCAACAGCTGCAGTATTTTGCTTTGCAGTATTCATTGGCAGGAAGCATCGGACTTTGCATGCCAGGAATGCAGTTTCCTCTTACCTCCTTATTTTCCTCTTGTGGGTGGATGGGGGATTTGGTACCAAGTTAATGACTTTACGATATTCAACACTAATAATGGTTTTACTAAATCATAAATATAGCTGCTTAAAAATATATAGCAAATATCATTCTGGAGAGAAAAAAATCCTTATTTTTACAAAATAGACTGACCTATGAATTATATAGTTGAATTTCAGTATATCGGTGCTATGTTGGGGTGTTTGCATGACTTACCCTATATGCATTACGTGTGTTTAAATAAATCATCTCTTTCTGTAGCTGTGAAAAAAGGGCAA